TAAATTTCTTGCATAAAAATTATCAATTATTACATAATATATCGGAGGAATTGAATTCAAGTATGAGTTTTTCCGTAAGTATGAATTCAAAATATGATTTTATGAAGAATGTACACAAAATAGAATTGTATTTATATTAATTGACTTTGTTTCAGATGATTGTTATGTTTTTCTCTTCAGGTATATCTACAATAATGTTATTAAAACATCTATTTCAAATGTTTCAAATCAATGACGTTACTCCTGTGGTGTAGTATTATTCTATATTTAACTAGTTTTTGTTAGTTATAAGATACATTTCAAAAATTAATTAATATTTTAAATATATTTTAGAAATTAAATGTCAATTTAGCATATGTAATAATACGGTGCCTCAGATTGACGATGCTTATAATCGTTCCTTGCTACTTATCAAACAAGATATATTCACAAGTAAGCGTAATGCGGACAACTCTTTATGATGCTTTGGATTGCAAAGAGCAAGGTAATATAGGTAATAACTTTTAGTCTCAAATTCTTTTTTGGCCGGTGGTGTAGACTTAAGAGAATTGATTACCCTTTTTGGTTACTTTAAACTTGTGAATATCTCAATAAACATAAATGGATAATTGTGGAAAGATCTCTTGGTTTTGACACACAAGAGTATAATCTTGTATTTAATATCCAAATATGATATAAAATATGACAAACGGGTTTGTGCAACATCTGAAAAGGCAAAAGGTAATTTGTCTGATAAGTATGGTGATTAGGACAATTTGGTGAGGTCTACTTCCAAATTTGGACTATTAGGACTGTTATATTAATAAGTAACATCACAGCCATGTCCACATAACAACCCACCTGCGCTTCCCGTGGTGTTGCAATTGTTCATACATGGTGGTAGTCAATTAATATCTTCTTCTTCTAAGCTTGCCATTTCTCTGCGAATGTTTGTGACCATCATGGCTATCTTTATCTTTGAAGCTGCAGCAGCGAAGAGAGAGCGAGTGCTGAGGTTAAAACTTTCACAAAGATTCTTCAGCCAAGATGTTTTTCTTCTGCCAAGTCGGCGTTTTTTCTTGACTTTTCCTTGAATCACAAGCTAAAGAGGTACGATATTTGTGTCCTCTCATTTTGTGTCCAAAATACTGCAGTTTCCTATCCTTCACTGTCTTTATTATCTCCAACTTATTACTCATTCGACGCAGAACCTCAACATTTGTTATTCTCATAGTCCAGGATATTCAGAGCATGCGTCTTTATACCCACATTTAAAAAACTTCAAGTTTTGAACATAATGTCGAAGTTAAAATCCAACTTTCGTTTCATTAAAGTAGGACACTGAATATATAACAGCGCAACAGTTACATGCAGAGTTTTAGGTTAAAGCGTTTACAACACAAAAACTTTTTTAGTTCCATAAAGATACTACGGGCTTATTCCATACGGACTCAAGTTAACTGTTTGCTACCCCATTGCTCATTTATGTAGCTTATTAGATATTTACGCGTTCTATTGGGTTATTCTCCAAAAGTAGATATAATTTTTCACTTGGGTCTTGGATACCACCATAAAATTAGTTTGTTTTTGGGCGTTTACTTTTAGTCCATATTTGTTGTCCTCCTCTCCTTTCTCCTCACATGTACATGATTCAACAACTTTTGTAGATCTAAAATATCCTCCGCAATATGAATTGTCTCATCAGCATACCGTATATTGTTTACGACTTCACCGTTTATCACTATAACTTCATCGGCTTCATAGAGGGATTCGGCCATAATTCTTTCGGTATATTCATTAAATCGTACATCAAATATATCCCTGTCGTACACCACACTTAATGTTAGTTTCTTTAGATAGTTGTTTTTCCACCTTAACCATTGCTTTTTGAGCCCAGTACAAATTAGTTGTCACTCTAAGGTCATGTTTGTCGTATATGACATGTTAAGACACCTCTGAACAAACAATTTAGATTATACTGTGCATCTCTGGTACCTAAGCCATTTCTGAAACCAAATTGAGTTTCTGATATATACGTTTTGCACTTCTGGTAAATATGAGCGTGTATAACTTTTAAAAACATCTTGAGAACATGGCTCATTAAAGTAATCGTTCTGTGGTCTTCACAGCGTTTTAAGTTTAGTTTTTGGGTATAAAAGTAGATTTCAGCCAGTTATTAGGGAAAACATCAGTTTTGTAAACTATGTTGAATAGAATTTTGAGAACTAGGCATGACTTGTAGGACATAACCTTTTTAACTTCAACTTAGGCATTATCAGGATCTACAGCTTTATTTATCTTTGAAACTTTGATCGCATTTCTTACTTCTGACTTTAATATCTCTAAATGTTCTTGTAGAACCTTTATACTAGTAACGCCATTACTGTTATCCACGAAAAGTCTCTCTATATATACTTCCCATTATTTTAATATTATGTTGAATTGTATTAAATAAATCACCAATATTATTATACAGCATTTCGTAATTTTAAAGGTTGTATAACCTCGTTTATTATCTTAAACATAATAAAACTGTCATATTTCTCTCAAATATTCTATTTCATCGCATTTGTCATTTAGACAATTTTCTTTTGCCTTTTATATTTTTACATTTATTTATTTATTTTACTCTACATACCTTTTCCAACTCCAACTGTTTTATCACTTTTCGTTCATTATATAAGTCCAATAATTCAGCCGTCATCCAGTTATTTTTAATATCCATTTGAGGGGTTTTAAATATTTATCTTCCAAACTTACTATATTTCTATTTATCTCTTCCCAATTTTGATTTATATCTTCATCATGCAGATATACGTCATTACATGTATTATCCATTTCCTTAGATAAATTCTCTTTTATTGTACAATGTTTTAGTAAATGCATTACTAATTTTTGATGCATTGATTATGGTCTGATCCCACGCCTGATGTGATACGTTTACGAAAATTTTATTATCATAATGTAATCTATCTGGTTGTGCAATATATGTCCCGGTTTATTATGTGATGAGTTGTGTTCTAAACAGAAGTCAACCAGGACATCACCCCGCTCATTACTAATTCCCAGAACAATAGACCCCGCAAAATAATTCTTAGATCTCTGTTCTTTTTCCCTTCCATCTCATCTCGCTAACACCTAATATATTCTGTGACATCCTTTCTATTTCCGGTATTATGTTGTACGTCCTTCTATCTTCCTATGTACTTCTAAAGTTCCATTTTCTGTTTCAAAAGCACACCTGGGGATTCTAGCACCCTGTGAGCATTTAAGACCTGCCGGGAACTCAGGGCCATAATTTTTTACTGTACTTTCAGTGACGGTAGTTCTTGGGAAAAATAATATGGAGGTTTCCCCTTGCCTTTCGTATCTCAGTTACCTGACAGCATGTGCACCCTTGCATATCTGGCCAGAAACCTTAGTTCTGACATTTACCTCGGCCTACTGCCAGTACTGTTTCCGCTGCTGCTTGGATCCAGGAAGGAAGTGCTTATTTAGTGGCGGCGCTTACTCGCCACGTCACAAAGGTTGTTATTGAGTTCATGGAACATTTTTTAAGAAAGCCTATATCACCAGTATAAAATGGCATAAGTAAGTGTTTATGCCATTTTATGATCTAAAAGCAGTGGTATACAATTAGTTTCAATCAGTATTTTAATTGGTTTACATTAAGAATTTGTTGCGTAATTGTTTAGGAATAACGAGTATTTATACATAATTCATAAATACACATTCTATTTATAAAAAAATATTATATTCATCGTCAAAAATGTAAATCACTGGACTGGGTTCGCATACCATCATATAATACATTTTTTCATTTATTCATTACAGCCCTTCACAAGTCCACTGCTGAAACAAACAAACAAAGCACGATCCTGAGCCACCTACATTCATCGACTTCCTGCATGTCTTACCAGGTCGTCACTCCATCTAGTGGGGGGGTCACCCTACACTTCGCCAACCGGTACGAGGCTGCCACTCGAGAACCTTTTTTCACCAAAAGTTGTCGGTTCTTCGAGCTATATGGCCGGCCCATTGTCGAATATACATTGTGAATATTATATTTTCTAATTGTGTTCAAGGTTCTTTTGAGCATTAATAAAAAAGTAGTATTTTGAAACGTCTTATTATTTTTTAATTATTTTTTATTCTATCCCAAACACGGAAGAAATAATGAAATAAGCTCCAGAAATCGCCACAGCTATACAAGGCTCAGGAGATGAATGCGCAACAAAATATTTTTTTAATAAAATCTTTATTACATGTGTTCATTCCACACAATTTTTTTTTATAATTAACTTTAATTATATTATTATGGGCACTGTAAGATAAAAGCGTGTAATTAATTACTCGGTATCAACGTTATGCTAAACTACAAGCTATGGTAAAATAGGACTTTGGCTTCTATAGGCTCAATTTTGAAATCTTAAAATCATCAAAATTAATTTGTTGTATTATACAGTAGTTTTAAGTAATAATTTATATGTAATTTAATTTATTATGTGTTTTCAGGTAAATTGGAATATCGCAAAATAAAGGTTTTTTATCAACTCACCCAGGACCATGACTTAGAATACGTTTTATGGGGTTTGATAAAACTCGACATGTCTTTGCCTCTCAATTACTCTAGTCTCTGCACAACATATCTCGTTATAATTTTACAGTTCTCTAAATTTATTGACTAATATTTAAAGAATGTGAAAACGTAAAATGTACGATTTTGTAAACAAACATTGAAAATATACATTTCATAATTTTAGAGTAATTATTTTCCTTAACATTAAATAATAATAATAATTAAAAAGGCGTAGGGAAGTGACGACCCCATCGCCCGCTGATGTAACAGTTATGTGACAAAACTGCTACGTCGGCGCAGTCAGTCAGCATCCTGCCAAGAGGTATGAGCGCCGTGCCTAGGCAAAATTGTGGGTGCAAAGGTCCGTTTGTGCATATGACCCAACCACGAAACGGTGCCGGGCTTGGGCGTCTCCCGTTATTTGGCGCCCATAAAATGGATGATGGCACAGAAAGGAACGCGCATAGAGCCGCTGCCTGGGGGTAGCCGGGGCGCGTCTGGAGCTGTCGCTGGACGCGGCAGCATGTGGGCCGCCAGCCGAGCGCGAGGGGCTGCACGATCACCTAGCAGCCCCTCGCATCCATCATCCCCACCAGAAGGCTTGGTGTCGGCTGGGTCTTCTCGGACTCAGCAAGCGGTACCCGCCACTGGTGGAGCACGTCGCATGCGTTGGACAAAATCTATGAACGAAAATGCATTGCGGGCGTACTATAGGGTGAAAGGGGAAGAAACTCTGGGAATAGCGTATAGAGCTCAGATGCATTGCTTTTTTGCTGAGCTGGAGCATTCTATCCGCGTCACGGAACAAAACTTGGCAGACCGAGTTCGGTACATCATGCGCTCGAAAATATTTGATGATGCCGAACTCGAACGACTACGACGTGAGGCTATTCCATCGTCGAATGAATCGGCTATGGCTGGAGATGCAGCTCCACATCCGACAGACCAGCATCCACACGTGGAAGCCAACATGGATCTCCCAGTTGTGGTTGATTTGAACGACGATGAAATAGTCTCCCACGAACTAGAGCAAATGAGGAGTATATTGGAAGAGGCGATTTTGGAAACGCGCAGCACACCTATCGAAAATCGACCGCGACTTTCCCGCATACCCCTAAGCAAGCGAAATCGGGCTGTCGTGAGGGTTATTAACCCAATGCTGGTGACATATTTGGAAGCCATCCGGGACCTTTGCGAGACGGACTCAATTCTCTTTGGCGCCGCAGTGACAGTTTGCCGTATTATTGGCGCCAAACTTCCCATGGCTGGACGCGCTACTTCACAAAGTAGCGCCATCCCAGCCTGGAGAAAATGAATTGAGGACCGTATCGCAAAGGCAAGGGCCCTTATCGGTAGACTGACAAGCTTCAGGTCGGGTAATAATAGACCGAGGATTGTGCGCACCGTTAGGATGGCGTTTGCTGGGACAAATATCAGTTTGTCCCAGCCGGATATCACGCAGAAACTAACGGAGCGCATAGACGACCTGAAGCAAAAGATCACTGCTTGGGGGAAGCGGATTCGAAGATTTACCGAGAGGTCAAGGCGGTTCAACCAGAATCGTCTCTTCCAGAGTGATCAGAAGAGGCTCTATAAATCATTGGAGCGACCAAAGGTATGTGGAGCGGGCCAAGGACTGGATCAGGCTAGCATTATCGCATTCTGGCGTGGCCTGTGGTCAGAGCCTGTAAACCACAGCGAGGGCCCTTGGATGGAAGTTGTGGCGAGCCAGGGTGCGAGTGTTACGCCCATGGACCCCATCACCATAACGCGAGAAGACGTGGCTGAGGCGGTCCGTAGGGCCCCGAACTGGAAAATTCCGGGGCTCGACGGGCTGCATCATTACTGGCTGAAGGGGTTCATAGTGTGTCACGCTGTGCTCGCCCGACAGTTTCAAGAGGCTCTCGACCAGAAGTCGCTCCCGAGCCTCTTCACTACTGGGATCACTCATTTGGTTCCTAAAGAGCAGGATACCACAGACCCGAGCAAATACCGCCCCATCACGTGTCTACCCACCATATATAAGACACTGACATCCATTTTGAGCGCGAAAATCACTCGTCACCTGGAGCTAAACCAGGTGATGTCACGCGCTCAAAATGGATGTCGGGGCGGTGGGTCGTGGAACCAAGGAACCACTCCTCATTGACGCGGTCATAGGCAAAGTGGTGAAACGTAACCGTCGGAACTTCTCTGCCGCCTGGATAGACTACAGAAAGGCGTTCGACTCGGTGCCCCATACATGGCTAAAGAGGGTCCTCTAGCTGTACAAGATTGACTGTACAGTTAGAGACTTCCTCGTGCAGTGTATGGGGCAGTGGAGTAAGATCCTTTGTCATCTGGGTGAGGGGATGATGGCTGCGGAGAACTACATAAAAAAGAGGTATCGATGAGGCTGGTATGAAACAGTCAGTTTGCGACGTGTTTTATGCACGCTTGATCAAAGTGCTTAACAGCCTTTTGTCCGGTGTGAATAAGTCACACGCATCTAACTGCTGAGTCATGCCTGTCCTCATGTATACCTTTGGCATACTCAGGTGGACTCAGACTGAGCTTCGGTTTAAAGATCTTTATTTCTCAATAAGACAATGGTCACTTACATGAGAACAATAACTATATGAACTTAGTAATAATAATTTTAGTGCGGGTATAAATAACTTTGTTAGATGTCGCTTTTAAGAGGCGAATATCTTTGTTGTTTATTCAAACTATAAGGTGGTGGTCCAAGTTTAATAACGTTTTTTTTATTTTTATTTAATAATGATTAAGGTTAGGTATTTAGCTGTTATAAATATAGGTAGGCAATTAACTTCCATTTGAAAACATTCAAAGATTTCGCCTCCTTTACAAATTTAGGTAGTTTGTTGTATATCTGTGCTCCTTTATACGTTATATTATTTTTACCATAGTTTGTTCTTGTAGGTGGCAATACAAGGTGACTAGCTAGTGTTATGTATTTGTTTGTTTGCTTCTTTGTTAAAAACGTGAGTTGTGTGTGGATTAATTTATGTTTTATTTTATATATTAGTATGCATGCATGTGCTATATGTATAAACTTGAGTAACGTTCAACAGTTTAGTTTCCTTATATATTGTATTAGTTGGTGTTAAAAAGTCATAGTTATACAAAATTTTTATGATACGGTTTTGTAGCACTTGGAGAGGCTTAAGATTGGTTTTGGCTGCATTACCCCATACCTCTACAAGGTAAAGTAAGTGAGGTTTTACTAGAGAGTTATATATTAGGATTCGGGCTTCTTTCGGAATACATCGAACTATTTTATGAAGGCGGCCAACGAGAGAGGAAAGTTTGTTTTTAATATGTGTAAGATGTGCATTCCAAGTCAAATTACTGTCGAGAAACAGTCCAAGGTATTATTCTTGATATTTTATCTGTAACGTTTCTCCGTTTATAGTCAAAGTAAGGTGGTTTTGGTTAGGGAGTTTTTTGTTCTTGGCGCTGAAAATTATATATGAAGTCTTGGCTACATTAATAGTTAGGAGATTATACTGAAACCATTGATGGAGTAAGTTTAAGTCTTCTTGAGTTAGTGTTATGATACGAGATATATTGTTTCCAAAGTAGAATAAACACGTATCATCTGCGTAAAGGGATATTTGACCTTGTAAACCTGCTTGGTTTATGTTGTTGATGTACACTAGGAATAGCAATGGACCGAGGATAGACCCCTGAGGCACGCCACACGTTAAGAGTTTGGGTTTACTTTGAATGGATCCAATTTTTACTACTTGGTAACGGTTGCTCAAATATGATGCCATCATTTTGTATACTTTTCCAGTGACGCAAATATTTTGTAGTTTTTTTAAGAGCAAATTATGGCTAACTGTGTCGAAAGCCTTTTTTAGGTCCACAAATATTCCCAGTGCTACTTGTCTTTGATCAATAAATGTTTTTATTGTAGTTATCAAGTCAATTGTTGCTCCCAGGGTACTAGCTTTAGATCGGAAACCATACTATTTGTCATACATAAAGTTGATTTCAGTTAAATAGTCGTCTAATCTCTTGTATATAATTTTCTCTAAAATTTTGGATAGTGTAGGTAGAACTGATATTGGACGGTAATTTTCTGGACTAGATTTCGTACCAGACTTATAAATTGGAGTGATTTTGCCTATTTTGAGGTTGTCCGGAAAAATTCCTTCAGTTAACAATCGATTTAGGCAATTAGTTATATTTTGGACTACTAAACTTTTGATACATTTGATAGCCTTGATACTAACTCCGTCTAGACCTACACTAGTATTGGAATCCAGATCATCAATTACTTTTGTTATTTCATTAACGCCCTGGATAGAAAAGTCCGCACTACCATGACGTCCCATAGTATGCATCATACGAGATCTTTGGTAATGAGGCTGTACTTGCCATGAAAGCATGGTGGGCGTGGCTTTCTGAGCGCGCTCACCATGCATAATCGCGAAGTGTGCAGTCTCCGTCAATACTTCTTGACGAGATCGGATGATCCATTCTATAATGACGTCATTTCTAGTGATAAAGGGCTTACCCCTCTATCCTTAGCCAACGAGCAATTGCAGGACCCAGCAGTGCTTAGCATTTCCGACCGGGAGTCCGTATGGAAGTAGAAGGAGCTCGACGGGAGGTACTACAAGGCTCTACATGAGCCCTTCGTAGATACAGTCGCCTCCCTCAACTGGCTACGTTTCGGTGACCTCTTCGGGGAAACCGAGGGTTTTGTCTGTGCAATACAGGATTAGGTTATTAAGACCAACAACTATCGGAGATACATCCTAAAGGATGGCACCGTCGACGTCTGTCGAGCTTGTCGTCATCCCGGGGAGTCACTTAGGCATGTCATCTCCGGTTGTTCGGCGCTTTCTAACTCTGAGTACTTGCACAGGCACAACCTAGTAGCCAGAATTCTACACCAGGACCTCGCTCTGAAATACGGTCTCGTGGACCGGAAAGTGCCGTATAACAAGTACTTTCCGGAAGCTGTGCTCGAAAATGACCGCGCCAGGCTCTACTGGGACCAGGCCATCATCACAGACAGGACTATTCTTGCGAATAAGCCTGATATTGTGCTGATGGACCGGGTACAGTCAAGGATATTTTTGGTCGACATTACCATTCCGTATGACGAGAACCTCGTGAAAGCCGGAACAGATATGCGAACAAAATATCTGGACCTGGCTCACGAGGTGACCGGCATGTGGGGTGGTCGGCCGACCGAAATTATTCCTGTAGTCGTCTCTGCGAATGGGCTAATCCCAGTCAGCCTCTCGGATCATCTGAGGCGACTGGGACTCCGTGACGGACCGCTCCGGGCTCAAATGTAGAAGGCAGTGGTCTTCGATACTGCCCGCATCGTCTGTCGGTTTCTTTCCCTGTCCACCTAACCCTCGGTCTCCTCTGCCGAGGGCTTCCATCTGGTTGGATCTTTATTTATTTGTTTTTTTTTGTATTTATTTTATTTTATTGATATTTATCTATATTTATCTTTTCATTTTAATTTATAATTATATATTTATAGAAACCAACCAGATGAGAAAACTATACAGATACCTCTATAATAATAATAATAACATATATATTATTTTCCTTAATATATAATAATATAATAAATAATATTATTATAGTTAACAATATAAATATTATTATTATTATAAATTTGGCATAGGGAAGTGATGACCCCGCTGACGTAACGGTTATGTGACAAAACTGCTACGTCAACGCAGTTAGTCAGAACCTTGCCAAAGGGTGTTAGTACCGTACCTCGGCAAAAATTGAAGGTGCAAACGCCCGCTTGTGCATATTGCATCACTATGAAATGGCGCTGGGTTTGGGCGTCTGCCTTTAGTTTAGTTTTGTTTACGATGGGCTGTTTTCCGCAACTCCACGTCTAAGCGCGTATTTTGCGTGTGGACAGGATTAATGTGATTATTCGAACCATGAAATCTCCCCGAAGAAGTTCAACAGTCTTTTGATGTTTCACGCAACTTCAGAGAGTGATCCTAGCGTGCCGAGTTGTTTAGCCCTGTATAAAGCGATCTCCGGACATTTCAGCAACACGTGAGCTGCCGTTTCTTCCTCCCCCATGCATACCCTGTATAGGGGCTATCTATAACACTGATGGTAAATAAATGTTTGTTAAAGAAGCCATGTCTTGTGATAGCACTTGTTACTATCCTGATCTGTGGCTTGTACAGTCTCATTAGAACCTTGGTTAGACGACTGTTTATTTTAAGCGAGGCCTTCCTAGCTTGTCTACAGTCTACAAAATGTTTCCAAAGCTGAGTGTTTAAATTATTGCAGTTTCTACGTACCAATGAACGA